GCAGCACAGTGGTGAGGGGAACAAAGTTTTTCAAAAGCCAGTTCCTCCTCAGGGAGCAGATATTTGCAACAGGTAGCCATTCAGAAAGGATCATACCCATGTAAATATTTTAGCAAGAAGGGGCACAGCATTCTTCCATGGATGCCCATACAGGGTAGATTAACAAAAATGGGAGGTTTGTTTCAAAAAGTCCCCTTAAATGTATACATTAAGAAAACAGATGATACGGTCAGGCCGATGCCTCAGCCAATCAAAATAAAGTTGGGTATTTTCTATCATCAATATTCCAGCTGATTGGAAAGACTCCTCACTAGCCGGCAAAGCTTGCAAACCATCACTCATTCCCAGCCGATTTGTCCTGCCATCTGAATGGTTTGCAAAGGATGCCAAGTTTCTCTTGTTCAATCTTCGCGGGAGGATGACAAATGATAGCTAGATATGTATTTTTTTAAAGGATCTGGAGAGAAACAAAGGGGAGCTTTGCACTGGAAGTAGCGCAGGCTCCAACGCAGCTTGCTGGAGAGTGGATTTGAACCCTGTAGGGGAGGGGAAAAGAGCCGTTTCTCCAGCCGGGGCCGAGCCCGGCCCCGGCTCCCGGCCCCCGGCCCCGGCCTTCCCCCTCCCGCAGCCCCCAGCTTCTCCGCGGGCCCCATCCTGCCCGGGCCCCAGCTTGTGGACCCCAGCCCAGCTCTTCGCCTGGGAGGTTCCCAGGGACCGGGCTGGAGGGGAGGAGATCCTCAAGTTCCGCAAGCGCTGTGCCCCGGGGCAACCTCTGCCTGCTCCAGGGCCCCAGGATTAGTATAGTCGTCATCGTCATTAGTAGTAGTATCAGTATCAGCAGTATTAGTAGTAGTAGCTGTATTATCATTATTATTAATAGTATCAATATTATCGGTAGTATCGGTATTATCATCGTCATTAGTAGTAGCATCAGTATTGTTAGTAGTAGTATCTGTATCATCATCCTCATTAGTAGTAGTATCAGTATTATTAATAGTATCTATATCATCATTATTATTAATACTAGTAGTAACAGCATTATTAGTAGTAGCAGTACTATTATCATCAGTAGTAGTAGTATTGGTATAAGTATCAGTATTATTAATATCAGTATTAGCATCACTAGTTGTCCTATGAGTGTATCAGTATTATTAGTAGTATCAGTATTATCACCATCACTAGTAGTTTTAGTGTAAGTGTGAGGATCCTTAGTATTACTGTTATCATCATCACTAGTAGTAGTATAGGTATCAGCATTGTTATTAATATCAGTATTATTATCATCATTAATAGTAGTATAAGTATCACTATTATTAGTAGTATCCCTATTATCATCATCATCATCACTAGTAGTTTAGTATAAGTATCAATATTATTAGTATCAGTGTTACTATCCCCATCATCACTAGCATTAGTATAAGTATCAGTATTAGTATTATTATTATCATCATCATTACTAGTAGCATGCGTATCAGTATCAGCATTATTATCAGTATCATTATCGTCATCGTTATTGGTAGTAGTATTAGTATTAAGTGGCAGTATTATTAGTATCAATATTATTAGTATCATTAATAGTGGTATGAGTATCGGTATTAGTAGTAGCAGTACTATCAGTATTATTACTATTCTTATTATCATCATTATTCTCATTATTAACATTATCATTGTTATTATTATTACTGTCTTCATCATTCGTAGGAGTAGTATCAACAGTAGTAGGACTATTCGTATCAGTCTGATTGCTATTGCTGTTATTGGTGTTGCTATTGTTATTCCTGGTATTGCTAGCTCTCTCTGTGGATTTGGTGGCGGGGACGGGTGCCAGGAGAGGGCTGCCTAGCCCCCAGCCCCGGAGGCTGCCCCGATCACTTGATCCCGGGATTCACAGAAGCGCCGGGGGGGACCCCGAGCCCGCTCCTTGCCTGCTCTGGAAAGTTGAGCGCCGGGAGGCGGCGGGGACCGGGCTCGCTCAGCGCTGCTCTCGCCTGCGACGGGGGCAGCGGAGGCTTCTCCCCGGGCAGCCGAGGGGGCAGCCGGGCGGGGGGCTTGCAGGCAAGGGGCTGGGATGGGGCTTGCTCGGGTGTCAATCTCCCTTCTCCCCCGGTTGCTTCCTTGACTCGCATCTCAGCTCCCCGGGTGCACACACGTGCACTGCTCCGGGAGGCTGCTCCCAGCCAGAGGCACTGACCCAGCTGGGAGCATCTTTCCGGGCTCCCAGCTCCGGGGCTGTCGAAAACGAGTTTGCACACACAACCCCGCACCCACCCATGCCTCTAATTCAGGCAGTCTCCATGTCCAAAGCAGCCCGCATTGGCTGTGGGGGAGTATTCCCTGGAGCATCCTTTGCTGGGCTGGGCTGGGAGCTGGCTGGTGCATGGCTTCATTGTATTTAAAGCCCCCCGCGCCTCCCCCCGCATGAAGATACTCAGTGCCGGGACAGAGCTGGCTTGTCTGGAGGAGCATGAAAACCTGGCTTCCCAAGAAGCGCGGTGAAGTTCATAGAATCACAGTAGTGTCGGAAGGGACCTCAGGAGGTCACATCTAGTCCAACCCCCTGCTCAAAGCAGGACCATCTTCAACTAGATCATCCCGGCCAAGGCTTTGCCTAGCCGGGTCTTGAAAACCTCCAAGGATGGAGTTCACAAACTTCAGGAGCCTTCCAAAGACAGGCTGGGGATGCTGTGCGGAAATGTAAACGGTTGCAAAATAGGAAGAAGAGAAAGATAAGTGACCCCGGAGCACACAGCAGAGTCCTCCTGGCTCCTTCCCTCCCGGGGCCGA